AGCAAAGCTATTCTTTCTATAAAAAAATATCTATGGCTGGTATTCATAGTCGGTTCTTATTTTAAGACTGTCTTAAGTAGTGTCTTAAGCGAGGGGGTAACCACTTAATGTAATCGTGGGACAGAATCTTCGAAATCATTATAAAATTTATATAAAATCTCTATGTATAATCCGATAATTATATATGCAATCACAAGAAATCATTGTATAATATTAAATAAAATCGTATATTTTACCAAATTACTTCATAGTAGTGAAAAAAATTATTTGTAATCAGATGAAATCATATAATCTCTGGGACAATATTTCAGCTAGTGAAATATTACCCCCTTAGTCTTAAGATGCTAATGCGGCTCTCTGATTGGTTCATGACATCTCAAGATTGAACTTAAGACGATCTTAAATATAAGAATCGACTATGAATACCGGCTTAAATCTTTATTATGTTCATCCTTTGTGCGTAACATATATTAACTCTAATAGTTCAACGATCGAACAAATCGTTTTGTCATGGCGATTAAAACGTGAAGACACCGAAGTAAAACGTGAAGATACCGAATCTTCGAACGTGACGAATCGTTAATAGGACCATTCATCATTCTGTCAATGGACGATAGTTTGGGGATTTAGAAGAAAAAAATCTTCTTGCGGTGAAAGATCTGTTTGCGTAACACATGCCGAGCACATGCTTCGGCAGTAATTACGACATTTTTGCGGATCGCTAACGATGCGCAGTCATTGACATTCAGCCGAGGCAACGGAATAAATCAGTGAAAGTTACGATTGCGTTACAAAATGAGTAATTAATATCATAATCGGTTAATCGTAGATTACAATTTGAATATATATTTGTATAAATAAACGACGTTATTGTTCTCCACAATTATTTAATTTATACATACAGTGGAACAGATTTAATTTTTTTTAATTACGTTATGCCAATCAGTACTTATAACATATTTTGTTATGGCAATTAAGCTATAGTTTTATTAATTTGTGTTTTAATATATTTCTTTTATTATATATCTATATTTAATTAATAATTTGAACAATTAAAAAATATTTATTTAATTAGAAAACATTGAAAATATTTACGTAGTCATTCTGATAATACATTAATCCGAAAATATCGTAATATTTCTTACAATGTGACGCAAAAATCTTTCACGCGAGACTCGCGTGGCTTTTCAGTTAATGATCGAATACATGTTTCTATTATCTTGTATATTAAATGCTGAGGAATATTGCAGATAAATGTAATGTTTTTGCATCGCATGCAGAATTGTGCCAATGACGTAAAATTTATCTTATTACGTACGTATCTATATTTCTCATTCATAATTTCTGTACAAATATCATATGTATTATGTACAAATACCATATGTATTATATATATGTACAAATACCATAAATATAATTTAAAAATTACTTTGTCACCAAATCAATTATACTGAATTTTATGATAATATCAAAATTTATTTACAATTAAACGACGACACTAATTAATTATACGTACGTATAGAGTTATGCAAGTTTTAATCTGCGCCGATCTTTAACCCTTGGTTGACTTGAGCAAGAATTTCAATTATCGCATCGCGCCGGTGTTAAACTATTGCACGACAATTTCGCTAATCCTGCTACTTGTTGATAGTTACTCGTTAACGTACAGGCTTTATTTAGTCAACAGATTATATCGCGAAGGCTGAAAATTAGCTACCGAGAGGTTTCGTAGGGTATTATGTTGTACACATATATTATAAGTAATAGAAATTTATCAATATTATATGTCCAAAGTTATAGAATTTGCATTGAGAAAAAAATGTTTGGCATTTGTGAGATTATAGTCGTATGGTAAAATAATTATGCGAGCGTTAGATATTCTATTTTACAATCATTCTTGCTGTAAATGTTAGTAATAATTATATTTATAATTCTATCAAAAAATATATAATGAAAAGAACTATTAATATAAATTATAATTAAAAGAGATTATAAATTATACGTAAATTATAATTGCAACAATTTGTTTCTTTCAATGTGAAATTATAATAATGGCGATTTTTTGAAAAATTAAATATTAAAACTACTCCGTAATAAAAATCCCAATTTAAAATGGATTTTAATTTAACTTTTATTTAATTATCGTGTTTCAAATACCATAGATAACGAGTGTAATGTTAGAACATTGCATTCTGAAGCAGAAACAAGAGATGAATGAAAAAAGTGAGAGTCGGCAAATGAAAGCGATTAAAACCGCCAAAGAACTACCGTCAATTCAAGTATCTTCCGTACTTTGTTCGGATTCACCTAATTTGCATAAGGCGTGCTAGGCCGTGAACCGGTGAGAGACTGGTGTAGATATCGTAACTGTGCCTTATTTGACGCTGAAGAAGAACGCGGTTGTATTACGCCATGAGATCCTCGAGATCTCTAATGGCACGCGAACCGAGCAGTTTGTTGGCGTGTGACTTTTTATGCGCAGAAACTGCGCGATTGACCTTTACCGGACGAAAACTTATTTCGTTACATGATCGTTCCCATTTTAATCCACATATTGGAAAAAAAGTCTGGTTGCATTAATTGAAATTCTGGTTAAAAAATGGACAATCAGAACTTTTTTATTGAATCTGTTACAATTCGCTAGTTAAAATAATTAGAATTCTCATTATAATATGCTCAGAATCTTTTGGTTCGTTCAGACCAGAAATTTTTCCCAGAGTGCATATTAGCAAGAATATTGTATATTTCTAATTCGATCGATGGAATTCGAAGAAATATAAACATTATATAAATTGCTGATAAATTATTTTTCAGTTATAATGAGAAAAATTTTTGGTTAAAAATGTATGAACCACAGAAGATTCTGATTATACCAGTTAAAATTCTGATGATCTCAACTAGAATTATATATAATAAATTTAACCAAAAAATTCTGATTTGTCTATTTTCAGCCAGAATTTCAATCAATGCAACCAAACATTTTTTCCAATACATCTAACTCAATTCAAGTAGTTGTAACTTTATATATCTTGTAAGAGAAAGGATTAAAATAATAACGTTTTTTATTTTAGAATGTTTTTAGTAATCATGAAGCATACCGAGGAGATAATAATCTAAAATGATTTCTGTGTTAATAAATGTGAACAAGTTGGCGGATTAGGTGAATGGTGTTCTTTAGAAATTTCATGTATTAAGATTGTTCCACGCAAAGAGAACGTAAGATTTGCATTTAATGGACTTCTAACTAAAGCTTATACTTTTAAAATATACTTGAGAAACGTTTCCACAATTCTTCTTTATTTATTATTTAATTTGTAATTTAATACAAAATATAAACAGTTTTAATTAATGCACTGAGTAAAATTTCTGGTTGAGAGAATGGACAAACTAGCATATTTTGATCGTATTAGCCGAAATTCTGCAGGTCATCATAATTGAACATCCGGTTATCTCGATTGAAATTCTAATGGATTTAAATAGAAAACTGATTTATCTATTTTCCACCAGAATTCTACGACTTAAGATTCTCTTTTCAGTATGTGTATATGTGTATAGTCGAACTTTCAAATTATACAAGAGATACTAACAATATTTAATTAACGCTAAAATTTAAGCAGTTTCGAAATTTAACTTTACCGCTTTCTTTTTTAATTTAATAACAAAACTTCTGAATTCTCAAAAAAATATTACAATCTATTTTATTAAACAAAACTTTTAGTTTGCCTACTGCATTCTTCTTTAGATTCCTCTATCACTTGCGTGATAATTTCATTACATCTGTTTTGATAAAAAAAAATAAATTTTTATTGGAGGAATTTGAAAAAATGAAGAAAATTGTAAAAAAATATGTCGGACAAAACGAATTTCAAGTTAAGGAACAATAACTCTTGACATTTGCAACCTGCCGCAACAGCTGTTTCACTATATTCCCGCGAGAAGACTGGGTTTATGTGTAAATACCAAACGACAGGCTCATCAACGAAAACATTCTTTTACAGAAAGGAAAGTGCACATGACGAATGTAACGCTCGTAAGAGTCGAAAATCGAAGTCGCCAAGACAACCGGGTGTTCTCGCCATTGTCACGAGAGTGCATGCGGAATAAATTATCATCGTTGCATCTTTGCTGTCGCTGAGCTCGATACTTTCTACGGCGAATTTTTTACGTTATCGCAGCACGACAAAAAAGGAACTTAACTGTGGAACTGAAATATAACAAAATATCTCACAAAAAGACATATATAACAATACTCGACAATATTTTTAAAAATTCTTCATTTTTTTCTGTGAAAATCAAAAGAGTTTAATATTAAAAGCTAACAACACTCAAAATAACACTTTCAATTAAATCTTATAAAGCAAAAAATAATAGAATTGTACATTACATCAAGGGAAATATTTAGTTTAAAATTTAGTTTAAAATTTAATTAACATAAAAAATATTATATATCGAATAGTTAATAAATAGAATTTAAAATTTAGGAATTTTATACAAAAAGTAAAAGATTTTGCTCAAGCGAAAATTTAAAATGTTATTACACATAAGTTTTCTCATTAAACTTATATATATATTTATAATTGATAGTTTCAATTTTTTTTAACAAATTTTGATCTCTTATAACTTTTTTAAATATTTAAATATGGCAACAAGATTATCACTTTTATTTTTGCGTTTTCATCTGTCACGAGATGCAACATTACCGCGATGTTCTGCACGAGAACGTAAGAATTTTTAAAAACTTCAAGATAACATGACCATTAGATTGAAAGATGAACGGTGAAGGGTACCGCGTAAAGTTCAATTTTTCAATCTCTATTCTCAAATAGCAGCTATAACCTTCCACTAGATTTCTTCACTATATCTCACTTCTCCGGAACACTCGCCGATGAAAAACGGACCCACAACCCCTTCGCGCGTCGAGTACACCGCCCCTTCCCGTTTGTGCCTATTTTCTCTCACATCACTTTTGCGTCCACGATTTGTGATACACTGTTACTTACCATGGCTAGATCGCTGCGCTGATCACCGATGAAGATGACCAAAACAAAACGGACACTTCAAAACGGACACATACCTCACTCGGGAGAGCGCGAGCGTCCCGGGAGGTGACTTCTTCATTTGCGAACGACCAAGAGCATTTATAGGATTTACCTGATTGGCTGGTGGGGAGGACAGAACGTTCGGTCCATGATGATTATTGCCAAGCATGAGATGTCCGCGGGAGGATGCTGTAATTCTTCTACTTCCACGCACATACACAGGTGGGGGTTGGACTGGAAAGGTAGAGGGAGAGAAAGAGCCGAAGAAAGACGGAAAAGGATAGAGGGGAAGAAAAACAGAGAGAGAGAGAGAGAGAGAGAGAGAGAGAGAGAGAGAGAAAGTGAGAGTGAGCATCCCATGAAAAGGACGGAGCCATCCGCGATATTCCAAAGGTCTGACAGAACGATGGATGCTGAATGGCAATAGCCGAAGGACTCCGTATTCGTCCCTGATCCAAGAGCGTGTCGGCGAATGTCCGGAGATGTTTTCGAGAGACTCAAAAATGTGTGTGTGATCAAAAAAAGGAATGCCGATATCACGTTTGAGTCGCCGACTGGTGCATATGCATTTCTCATAGGCATTAAAAAAAATGCGAATTGGTGGCAGCAAGTGATGGCAATGTTTACTGCCAAAACGAGCTCCGCAATGTCCTTATTCTGATAGAAGACGCAAAACAGTCGTATATATGCAAGTTTGATGTTAATAACACTGAACAATAAATTTTGATAACATTTTGTTTGTCAAGAAGTAGATGTTCTTTGTAAGGGTTTTCACCCTAAAAAAGGATATGCTTTTCAAAAATTCAATCATATTCTTTAAAATTTTTAAAAACTCTGCTTTGAATTATTTACGCAAGTTGTACATATGTAATACATAACTATAATTTGAATATTTTTGCAATATATGAAAATAATTATGATATTATATAAAGCCTTTTTATGTGCAATTTTAAGTGATATATTAAAATAATAAAATTTATTGACAAAAAAATTAAAATTTATAATCAATGTAATTAATTTTACAATATATGACCATTTTACAATAGTAATAATAATCACAAATGTAATAGTGTGACACAATATTACATTTAAGTAATCTTCTTACATACCTTGATTGAAGGATTCACTAAAATTTGTTGCCTAGAACGTTACTAATACAAATCGCTATTATTAAATAAGTAAAAATAATGAATCAAAATAAATAAAGTTGTACTTGATCGGACGTCATTGAACTACATAATCGGTTACAACATTTTCATCTCTCCTTTCTCTGCAGAAAGACAAGGACGCTGAAACTTCCGCACCGTGATCCGTCAAAATACAGTTAACGTGCACGTATCTTCTAAATGTCAACCAAGTCTCGTTATGTATATCTGCTTCGCTATGTAATATTAAACGGTGGAAGGGTCATATGGACACTTCAATAATTACATGCCACAGCTAGCGACGATCAACTTCACGGTTCCATTATGCAACATACTTTTTTGCGCGTTTTTGAGGTGTAAGAGTGTAATTCAAAGTGGCGATAAATACCGCCACGACAGTAAGTGATTGGATGGTCTGGGAAGATTGTAACATACTTTGCTATCGTAAATGTCTACCGTGTGTATGTCTGTCAAAGGCCGATCTCTATTGATTCTGATTAATATAACGTAATGTAGGAGCCGGTGCATATATCCGATCGAATTTAATTGCCGTCGTAAAGCGAGGGTGATGAGAGTTTACATTTCACTAGGCCGTATTTACAGTTTGTGGATTTTGATATTATTGACATTTTAGTATTGCGCAAGAGTATTATAGACTGCGCGTGATGTAAGACTAATCAATTTACGACCGTCGACGAAAGCTGTCGGTAAAATTTTGATATTCATCTGCTAATTTCTCTCATCGTATAGGCATTTCTTACCGTAAAATCACATTAAAACTGTAACTTTTAACTGCTTTTAGTTATGGCCTAAAAATCATTTGATATTAGACAGTTTTATTAATTTGCAATTTTATAGAATTTAACTTGTCGCTAGTTAGTGACATCAATTCTTTTATACGATTGATACATCACTTAAGTTATGTGCTATTTGGAGGGTTTTAATATTGTCTTAAAAATCAGGTAATGTAAATACGATAATCTGAGTTTTTTGTTTGGTGTTCTATATACGCTTATTTAATTTTGTGTTTTGAATTGAGCGAGAGAGGCATCCTCTGGCCATCTCTTTTCTCTGATATCACTCTCTTGGATTTCTTCTTCTGATATATCAAGGTTTTAATTTTCTCCATTAAGATGTCAAACGTAAATGCCTTATGCAACCGAATGGTGACCGCCATGGGCACCATAAACTAACGATATGTTACATTGTACTTATTGTTAGTGCGAAATACCGGCTCGACATCTTTTGTATCACATAAGATACCCATGTAAAATTTTAGTAAAAAACTTTTTTAATTGTCTTTACAATAAAAAAATTAAAAATATGTACATATGTTTATTTTTTTACTTTTTATCATCTTAAATTTAAAATACCGAAAGTTCATATTACTCCTCTCCTTTCTCAAATATTTTTATTTTTATTTTATATATATTTTTCAATTTCTGTAATAAAATAACTGCACAAATAAGAAATATGTTACTTAATGTGTGTAGTTTCCTAATATTTTGTAATAAAATTTTGCAAATGTTAAAACTTTCATATAATTTAATTCATTTATATTCATTAACATAATTTTTTCAACTTTATATTATTAACATAATTTTATTTGATTTCATGTGATAAATCACGGGTGGCGTGCACCTGAATGCAAGATGCACGTTTCACACGACGCCTTTTCATTTATGCGGGGAAAAAGTGGCGAAAAAAGCCAACAGACTTTTCATTGCGCAAGGAAGAGGCGCATTAATGTTTCTTCTTGAGTCATGTAAACTCGTCATCGGGCTAGAGATGCTTAGATACAATGATGCTCGAACGATCATCAGCGGGTCATCGCAAACATTACGCGAGCTTGCATTTACGCGTGGAGATGCACCGGCTACCGTGAGGTCCAATAAAAGTTTAGTGCCAGTGGCGCAAGTACTTAGAATAAGTGCCTGAGTTATTTGCTAACGGGAATAGTACTCGTGTAGAGAAATCTTCAATCTGTACGCTCTTTGCGTTTGTTTCAAGGTGATAGTCACCTGCGATATCAGAAAATTATAAATCACATTCGGTCGTTAAACTATTCATTTTTGCAAAGAATAATTAGTTCCAAATATAATAAATAGTTTTTTTTAGATTATACTAAGACTCTTTTATATATATTATATATTGTACATATATATATATATGTATCATGTAGATTTATTATATATGAATGGACTATTTCGAATGCGTCCCAAATGGTCTACTCAAATTTTTGTGTATATTATATATATAGATTAATTATTTCTGATCACTTACGATTAATAATAATTATGTACTATATCTATTGTATATAGCGGCGAATATATTGTATAATTGACAAAAAAGTCTTCCAAGTTGTTTAATTTTCGCAAAATGTTATATTCCTAATTACGTAGAAATGCAATTATCTTGGCGATGGAGATGGTATGTCTCTCAACTCTGTTAGTTCGTTTTTTCTTTAACTTATAACGATTTGCAACGTCGGCAAATCATTACGTTAATAAAAAGCAGATAAACATCCGGTGTGTCACGCCACCAGATTTATCATCAGGATAGTCTTCGTAAAAAAGCTTGTTTTCTCAAATTCTGCGTTAAATAAAACATGCTTATAGAGCAAATTATAAGCATAATTAGGAAGCAACATATTATAAAAGTAATTGATTAATTCTTGTAAATTTTCTTATTTTTACTATCACACTCTATAAATCTTTGGTTACAACAAATACATCATATACTTATTTTTGCTCGTTCGCAACATCGTTTTTATTGAAACTTCATTACTAATCAAAAGATTAATTTTATTGCATTCGAAATATAAATCACATTAGATACAAATGAGCGGTTATAAAACTTAATAAATTTTTAATGTAGATTGGCTAAATATGATCGCGAATAAAAAAGATTGCATCCTCCATTCGGCGGCGCGGCGTGAGAAATTTCTCCGATCGCGAGTTAACTGGCCATGCGCGATGATTTCAGAGGCGTGGGTGCTGATAGTCGTGGGAAAAAGGTTTCCATCTATAAATTTTCCCGAATCAAAACTGCGAATCGAAATTTGTTAAAATAATTATAATTAAATATATAAAATAAAAATAAAAAAAAAAATATTTACGTCTAAATTTTTCAAACCGTGCATTTTTCTTCTTAATTCTTACTATATTCGACGTTTTAGTATGTAATCACACAAAGGTTAAAATTATGTCAGTGTAATCTTACATTGCCGCTGCTAGTCATCTGAGGCTAATTCTCGTCAGGGCTAATTGAAACGTTTTTCCTGATCAATGCTCTTACATCCGCACTTTTACATGCTTCTCTGTTTAACAGCGTACGATAGATAATTCCGGGGATATTGTAATTATCCATGAATGAAGTTCGCTTCTCGTGAGGTTAACCTTTCGCTTAGTATTTAGTTTTTCACTGAATGAAGGGGCTTGACACAAACGCAGAAAAGGTCGTGATCGCTGCCCGCGCGACCTTCGCTCGTCACGTTCCGCAGATAAGCCATTAAAGGGATATATGTATACTCTCGACAGAATAGGAAAATCGGTTTCTAAATCACGAACCAGCTGCTGTGTGTGTGTGTGTGTGTGCGCGCGCGTGTGTGATACTACTTATTAAAAATAATAAATTCATCTCAAAAATTAAAATTTTTGCAAATTTATGATAATTTTATATGCTTCACTGTGATCAGGTTACACTCCGTTCGAAAAGACGGATAATTCCTAAAAAGTTTTTAGCGCTTATAATAATAAATTTGTCAACCCACTTCGTGTATAAAAAAGAATCTAACGTGGGGAGCACTACTTTCGAGAAAAAATATTATTGACGGATCTCATCACTCGCAAGGTTTATTGCATATTCTACATCTTCATATTAAGATTAGCTGGCGACCTTGAGGATTAGAATAATATGTTTTCCGTCTCGTCCTTGAACTATAAATTTCACAATTTCGTGGTGAAATCGTGTTTCGGAAACGTAAATTTCACGAGTTTCTAAGAATTTGATTTCCATTAACACATCCACGATGAACGTAGGCGTCTCGTATCTTGATAAAAAATGATCCTTAATTGCATCTCTGAGGAGCATAAAAGTTTGAGGGTGCGGTATTAATCCTTGGACGCATTAATTCTTACTCTCATAAATCAATTTATACAAAAAAATTTAATAAAATAGAAACAAGAGAAATTTGTATATGTATTACAAATTATTTAAAGAATATTAAAAGAATATAAATAGAAGTAGAGAAATTAACCTTCAGATACCAAATACGTATTTAAACAATTACCATGCATTTGAATTTACATTTAAATAGTTTTATATATTACGTCCCACATTCCTCAAGTCGAATTCGGAAATTCCGAAGGACGTGGCCAGTTCGTTACCGATGCATCTTTTTTAGACGTTCGAAGAAACTAAAAAGAAACTTTAATTATGTGTATAGTCAAATCGTAAATTAATTAATCCTTAACAACAGGATGATATTAAATATTTCTTCTAGTCTGTTTATTTCTGTGAAACTTCATTTCCTTGAACTTTACGCATTTCAAGTAAAAACGTTTTTGTTACATAATAATTATGATATCAAATAATTAAACCTGATACTGGCAAAAGAAAATAGAACTTATATATTTGAGAAAAAAACTTTAACGGCACTACCCTCATCGACAATCTCTATTACGTATTGCTTATGAGGTAATAAGCATTAAAATAACAAATTTTTGCTGCGTTTGGCACTTCGCTAGTTAATGTATTAACTGTGTCGCAAATTACACAATATTTTGCATGATATTTCTTAATTCATTAGAAATGCTCGCGGCAGTAGCATTTCGTTTACGTGTTGTTAAATTTCAGATTTTTCTTCAGAATCTCTCGCTGAAGAATCGCAGTTGAGAGATTCGCATTATTATTCCTTGGAAACTTATTAATTCTGTTGCGCTTCAAGAAGCAATATAATACGTTGTATGAGAAAGCGATCTGAAACGTGGTCATTAGACATTAACATCGCGTATAATAAGAGTATAAAAGTGCCTGCAATTACAATGTTAGCTAAAAGTATGATATATTATTGTGCAATTATGATAAAAGAAGCAAATAAAAGTTAAATTAAAAATTTTGAAATATATTTTATTATTATGGCATTATCCTTTATTCATTAATTTATCGAATGAGCCCAAAATTCTCTATATATTATATCATTACCAGATATAACTGACTTTCTATTAAAATTCTGTTTAAGAATTTGTTCTCTCATTCCAAAATGTTATTTATAAATATGATGATCTCAGAATGATTTATCGGTTAAATTGATAATTCATTAAATTCATATTCTTGACCGAGCTCTCATTTCTTTCGACTGATGCATCAGAATAATTTAGTATTTTTTTGTAAACACGCAAGATGACATGAGGGGAAGCTATTCTGTAAGTATTTTTTTCTTGTTAATTTTGCTTATAATTATTTAATTGTTAGAGTTCTCTCTCTCTCTCTCTCTCTCTCGAGAAATTTATTGTTATAATATAAACAATTAAACTTTTCGCCAAAAACGCGATCCATATTATTCGAAATTTCGAATCCGTAAATGGAAATGTTCTGGAATAACTCGTTGGTAATATTTTGGTAATGCGAGGAACAAAGTGCAATAATGCACTTATGGCTTTATGGACAAAATTTTCACCATTTAAATGTCACGAGGGCATCGAAGCTGTTTGTGGTCGATGCGTTAACCGCCATAATAACCATCGTCATGCCGTGTATATCAGATGTTTTTCTTATGTTCATATCTCCATAAATTACCTGTCAAGGTCACTCTATGAATTATGCGTATGTCTCATCGATTGAGTTTGTATCAATTATTGTAAGAAAAATATTAACGAATATCGTAAGATAAATTTATTGTAAGAAATTCGAAATTCCATAACTATTTATTTAAAATTATTTATAGTTATAATTATTAAAATTAAAGAGAATATACATATAGATTTTTTTTTGTTAAAATGTATTTGGATTACGTGATTAAAGATGTTTTTGCAGTACTATATACGATCGAATGAATGAAATCATTCTTCCAAGACAGCAGGTTTCGCTTTTTATACTTGAAATTCGGTAATCTTCACTATGTCCTTGAGGTAGAATGGTGAATGTTATAAGTCACTTCCCACGATTAGAATATCGCTCGACGAACGCTTGGCATTTAATTCCCAGAATAGTATCAACCATTACACGCGTTTATTATCTGAATCTTGAATTTATCAGTTGTCTTTAGAACTAATTATAAATTATTAATCAAACTGTTACATTATTAATGGAACTGCAGCAATTTTTATAAAAAGATTCATGTTGGTTAAACATTGTATAAAGCACTCTCAATTTATTGCATTTTCTTGGAAAAGGCGGTAATAAAAAAAAGGACTAAAAAAATATTAATATTATTTTTTAATAAAGTTGTATTTTAATTTATTTTTTGTTAGATCTGAAATGTTGATATCAATTTATTTAGTTATTTTATATTTAAGACTATATTTATTACAAATGTTATTTTTTATAGAGCAAACTTGATCAATCTTTTCATATATATCGTGCATAAGAAATAACTGCCGATTCTGAAACAAAGAATCTATCTCATATTCAGTTTAAATCATCAATTAATTGTATTTTATTTATCAGATTTATCTGTGTATTAATAATTTCACAGTGTAGTTAATGGATAAATCAATATAGTTAATTAATGTTAAATAGTAAAAGTTGTGAATCGTTGACAGACGTTAAATTTTGATTAAATCGCAAATATTTTATAATATTTCGTAACACCATTCTCTTACGAAGAAATAGGAATCGTCGAACGAAAAATATGAACATGATTCGCGACACGGATATACGTTTCCTACGAAATATCAAAGGTACTGAATGAGCAGCCGCAGGCACTATAAAGCGTGCGGTGTTACACGGTCAGTTCTCTCTGTCGTAAGCGTGACGTAAGAGAAGAAGAAGAAGATGAAAGAAAAGAAGACAGGTGTGACCATTGCGGCCTGTAATAATAAGAAGACAAAGCGCTTTGTATCGTAGACATCTCGCGTGATTTCAATAACTATGCGTAGGCGGATACGTGTTCTCTTCCTCTTTGAGAGCACTCGGAACTACATGATCGCACTGGTCACACCTGTCGCATTTTGCATAAACGTTTACATGGAAAGATGATCTGCTCGACTGACAAAGACATTGTCTTTCGTATCTTTAAAAGCGAAAAAAGTTCATTTCAAAGAAACAGATTATTGAATTGAATTCTTTCAAATTATCGAATCATATTGAGTTATTAATTTATTCATTTATCTTGTCAGTAATATTAAAGTTGTTATGACAATAATATAATTACTGATGAACATTACTATTTAAAATTTCTGAAATCGGCATTAGTAAAGTTTAATATTTTTAAGATCACTTATGATTTCTGAAAACAACATTAGTAAGATTTAATATTTTTGATAATACGCATAATTTATTTTATATGTATATGTAATTATACCTGATATAGCATTATATTTAGAACATATAAATATTTTTTTTTGTAATAATGTAATTTTATTTTTTAAAGAATTTTGTTCTTATTTTCTTAAAATTTTGCCGTAGATAGATTACGTGTACAATGTAACACAAGCGTTACGTGGACAGTTATATTCTTTGTGGCGTTGGATCAATCCTGGTAACAAAAAGATACAATGGAGAGAAAACGACGTAGATCAGTTTTGTACTGAGCTCACTCTTCAGACGGTATTTCAGAGAGAATCCAGAAGAAGGCCGTTTTGTATCCACCTTAACCATGGTAGCCATAACCATGACCATGACCGTAACCACCATAATGACCGTAACCACCGTAGAACGGAAATCCTAAGCAACAATGAAAAAATACTTTAATATTTCCGTATAAACGATCCTTTTGTTCGGGAATGCGAATGTATATATCTGAACGATTTCTTTGTTATGAAATTAGCATGCGTGAGTAAGTTGTTTTGCATTGTTTGCGTGATACGGAACTTGTGTAATAATATAAAAAATTCTAGATATTTATATACACACAAAACCTATATATTATTTCATCATGAGTAACTTACTTTTCTATATTTTTATAAATTTATATATATTTTTACAGAGAAATGCAGTTTAGTTGTTATAATAAATTTTTTTATAAATAAGTGCACATTGCCTACAGCACTAATTCTCAATTATCCTTTCTATTTTACATAATATAATTTTATAATATTTTATTACAACAAACAATAAATTGTCATATTAAAATATTACATTAAATAATTACAGAGTAAATGATTATAAAGAATTAAGTATTACAAATTAATAGTTACAAAGATAAAAAATAAAAAAAATTTGAATCTATGAGGAAATGCGATTCTATATAAGGTATAACTTATAAATTCTATACATATAAATTTTACAGAACAGATTCTATTATAAATCCTACCAAATCCATAGCCAAATAATCCATGTCCATATCCATGTCCATACCCTCCATATCCATGACCATACCCTCCATACCCATGTCCATACCCTCCATACCCATGTCCATATCCTCCGTAGTGATATGGATAGTAACTATATCCTAAGTATCCCGGTTTTGCAACAGCCACGCCGATTGCGACGGCCAAGAGTAGAACAAGGTACTGTAAAGCGAATAAAAGATGAGAATGGGGATTAATTTAATTAAGAAAATTAAAAAATTAAAATTAAGAAAATATTAAATTAAAATAAGAAATTAAAAAATTGAGCCAGTCAAGTACTAATTTTATCTTTATTTTTTATAATATAGAAAGGATTTTAGAAATATACATAACAGTGATTGTAAAAAGCTTATCCAAATTAATGGCACGATAATGACGCCATTTCATATGCATCATTTTACTTGTGTGTATGATAATAATAAAGTAAATTTCACTTTAATAACTGGTATATTGCCATTGCATAATGTCCAAATTTCATAGCAAACTCATAATAAAAAATACATTATTACAAACTTCATCGTGTAATATTTTATGATTAGCGAAAGAATAATGTCGCAATAAATTAAATTACTACGATACTTGACTTCTAGAACAATTTTTGATTCAACTTCGTCGCACTTACGATCTTCAGGCACGCCATTCTTTCTCGTATTTGTAATTGTAGTTTGTGGCCCGACTGACGCCGTACTAACAATCGCACCGATTTTTTCTCATCTGTCGTTGTCGAACACCACTGTCTATCGTTTCTGCGATACAAGTGCTTTTATAAGAAAGGCGGGGTCCCTTCGTAAGGCGCGGTGGTCCCCCCACGAGAGCGGTACGTTTTTCCAGGTCCCGCTCTGGCCTCCGCCTGTTGTGCTAATAGGAAACTTCATTGTTACCCTGGGATTATGCGAATTGCGATTTTGCATTATGAAAGAACCGCGAAAGACGCGGCGATGTGCGGTAACGCACCTGTGACGGGGTCGCATTAGTCCACGCCCGATGGGCGCCTTGACATCCAAATTTCTTCTTCGATGCGATTGCTCGCGTGTGTCCGCGGCGCCGTAAACCCCTCATTACAGCAGGAGAGAATCATACGTCGCAACTACCGATTGCGATACTTAATGCCGCTGCTGTAATCGCTAATCGCTTATCGTCGAACATTAATTCCTGGGTCCGCCGGTGAATCCCAACAGCAAGCCCGAAGGAGGAAACGGTCTTCTCCCGAGTATCGTAATCGAAACAGAAAGAAGCGATAGACGATGCTTATGCCGGTCGACGATTACATAATTCGGGATTCTGTTACAAAATGTGAAATTATGTTGATAAACGTCCGCGCGTTTGAGATATGTGTGTCTGATTTGTCAATTGCGTGGCGACATTCTTAGCGATGTTCGACGGAAGAAGGCATAATTTAGATATTAAAAATGAAGAGCCTCGAGAAATTTATTACCTATATGATACTTAATTAAATAGAGATGCCAGAACTAGATCGACTAAATGTTTTGAAAATTAAGTGTGCATAGAATATTAATATATGTGAAAATCATCATTAATATAATGATGTCACAAATTACAATGATAAATTGCTTTGTACAGAATACACGATATATGAGTTAGCTTCATCAATTTAACATGTAACATAGAATTAATTAATTCAGCAGAGTCTCAATTTCTCGAGAACACTGTCTTCTTGTATTCCTGTCCACTTGTATTCCTAAATCTATTTTTTTCAAATACGACGTATCTTTTGAGCCATCTTATCAATCATGTCTCAGCAGATTACATTGTAATATACAGTTTGCATAATCACAGTTTCGCATAATAATGACGTGGTTAACAGAAGATGTTGATGTATCATATTGAGTAATTCTAATTCTAGTCATTCTTTTGTAGAAAGTTACCTAAATGTAAATATTTCAAGTATTACACACATTGATATTTTGATATTTTACAAAAAATAAAAACAGGTAAACTGTCATTAAATATATATTAATACATAGTAAACACTTTAAGTAATTTTACTATTACTTTTCCTCCTCAACTTCTTCAATTGATAACGTATAAAAATTCTACTATTTCAATATTACATCCTTACAGAATTAATGAGAATGTAATTAACAGTTATACTTCCGCCAATTAAAACATAATCGGTATGAATATTCCTTGATTGTCTTTGTTTTTATCGGAAATACGATTTTCTTTGTACACTTACCTTCACGGTCGATTTTCCATCGCCGATTTATTTTCTGTTCTCAGCAAACGAGATCGGATCTACAATTGATATCCAGAATAGCGAAGGATTTCTTATGTAAATTGTTATGCATTTACCTTGAATTAAGTGCTATAATAATCTATTTTTATGAACTTCTTGCAATTATATGGGGAATATAAAACAATTTTTTTTTTAATCTGAAATAGCTAATTTTAAGTACAAAGATAACTGTTACATTAAACAGTTAATATATTGAAATAAAAATATTAAACATGCTGCAATAAATAATTATTAGAGGAAAGTTGCCGATACTGATATCTCTTAAAAAGATACTATTGAATATTGTACTTTATTAATATTGCTAAGAACATGATATGTTTAATTGATTAAAGAAATAAAAACTCATAATTCTCATATATTTGTGATCTTTTTTTTATGAATATCATCTAAAATCAAATGCTATAAATGTGAAAATAAGATTATTCCGATTTTTTTTTCATAAATTGTAGTTTAAATAATAGTAGATACTATTGATAGAGGAAGGTCACCAAACCGTTAATATACATAATTTAAAATAAATTTTACACCTTATAATGTATCGCTCGTTATTTATTCAAAATAAAATGTAAAGGAAGGTCACCGATATCGACATACCACTTTGTTTTTAGACAATATTTCTTAAACAAAAGGTAAAAATACAATTTCAAAAACATAAATACAAAGTAAAAAGTGTCTTCTATCAGATAGTATTAGCAATTTTTATAATTTGTTAGCAATTTTGTAATAATTAAGTTTTTCGTAAGTTATGCAAAAATGAGCGTCTGACAAAATGGGCTCCAAAACTGACACAGTAGGCAGTAATGCTACGTATTCCTATTCTTTTTCTTTTACAGGAATTTTCTGTATAAAGTACCTATAAGTGAATGTATATAAGATTTTTTAGAATTATTTTACTTCATATTATAACGTTATAAAATATTTTTATTGAATTATATGCATATTCACTTTATGTTGTTCTGCAAGCTGCAAATATGTAACGCGATAGTTTTTCTAGAGTTGTTCCATATATGCACGATTGCCTTCAATATACTTATCAGCTTCAATATACTTATTTGACACTATAAAGCAACATTATAAAGATTAAGTTAGCTCATGGTCTGTTTTACAGACAGGTGTGTCGGTTTACGCTGCACCCCAATTTTAAATTAAAAATCGTATTATGAAAAGACTAAGAGAAAAAATAATATAAATAAAACTTATTTCGGATACTACAAGTATTTAAAATGACGTAATATTATCAATAATCACTATTATTTAAACCTCACAATTTGCAAAAAAAAAATCGTAAAAATTTTATTTTCGCATTTATAGAATTCGTTTTTAGCTGATTTGATATAGAAACAAACCACAAACCTACGAATTATGAGTTTGTACTTCTTTAATTATGAGTTTGTATTTCTTTAATTAGCTAAACAGATCATGATTTTATTAGTATTAATAAAGTGCAATAGTTAGTTTCCAAAAAATAAGGGGGTGTCATTTTAGGAGACCTATGTCAGTATTGGCGACTTTCCTCTAATATTATGCCGTTTGTAATTTCCCAAATCTGTTCTATTTTTATACTTTTTTTCTTTCTTATTTGTCTTATAATATAAAATATGAAATCAGAGTGCAGCGTAAAAACCGACACACGTTTATAAGATAGATCATAAGCTAATTTAATCTTCATATAATGTTGCGTTATAGAATAAATAATCCTATCGGAGCTGAAGGCGAGCTTGTATTTATATAGGAAAATCTTCCAAAAAGAAAAACTGCCTCTTTATATGTTGCGTCTTACAGAACAGTATAAAATATTCATATAAATTAACAAAAAAACACTTTATATCGAAGTAAAAAAGTTCTAGAAAATCAAATATGATAAAAAAAGCCAAGATCGGTCACAGAGTTGGATGTTTTACATAAAATACATTAAATATTCTTATATTAAATTAATTTCAGATATGATTGAAAGCCGAAAAACTTTCGATTTCAATCATTCTGAAACGCTAATAATCCCTAAATTAGAATAGAACCGAAAGTTTTTCGGCTCTCAATCATATCTGAAATAAATTAATTTAATCCTTATCGTACCATCTACAATTTAGTGCCTCATCCATACCATCAAGGGTCACTTCAAATCTCTTCGTTTTTTTACCTCAAATAATTTAAAAAATCTCTAAAAATTCACCAACTTACTTTCAACTTTCTAGAATAAATATTGACTCTTTATTTTGGAAAATAATAAAATGTAGTATATAATTTATAATTACCGAAAGACTCAAAAAAACTTGCACGAACAGGAATCGCTCGGTCACTAGTTACCCATATTAGTACGGTAAGGGTTATAAGAATATTTAATATATTATGTAAAACATCCAACTCTTTGACCGATCTTGACTTTCTTTATCGTATTTGATGTATTCACACATACGGTCGTGCTTAAAATTCTTAAATGATTCTAGAAAATCTTATATACATTTATTTGTAGGTAATTTTGTATATAGATGACTTTCTCAAAGAAAAAGAATTAGAATGTGTGACATTACTATCCATATTGTGTCAGTTTGGGGCCCATTTTGTTAGACGCTCACTTTTGCTTATTTTACAAAAAAGTTAATTATTGCAAAATTACAAACAGTATTATAAAAACTGTTATATTATCTGATAGGCGACATTTTTCAATATGTATTTATGTTTCTATTTTTAGCTTTTGTTTAAGAAATATTGTTAAAAAACAAACTGGCATGTTCACTTATATCTATAAATTGTGTTATTTTACTAAACAATGTCGAATATCAAGTTAATGTAAAATATTCAAATGATTCACAATCACGTTACGTTACATTAACACTCGAATATGTTAAAAATTCAATAACAAAAAATTTAACAACTATCGATTTTAATACAAACACAAAATGTGTTTTACTATGTATGTCTTGCTAACGGTTTTCTTTTCACGCAAGACATGGATACAACTAATTGCATGAAAATTAAATGTCTCTAACTTTGCATGTCTTGCATAATCGCGTTTCGTATCGTCATTGACGCAGCATACGTGACGTATATACAAAATCATATGGAGGCCACGAAAATTACTGGACCATGCATGCTACATACATTATTGTTAGAAACAAAGAATAATTATGTATATAAAGGCCGACAACCATAATTATGAGAACATATTCTATATCATAATCCTGAGAACGTCGTAATACAAACCAATGATAAGTACGAATGTACGTGTCGCGCAGCGTCTGTAATTAGTGAGCCTATTAATTATCGACTTATCTTTCTTACAGTCAAAGGCAGTAATGCCGTATATCTATATGCAACGATCGGATTTTATAACATCTTTCTGCATATGTGTTAGTTTTATAATTTATTTTTAATGAGATACATAATTAATAACAATCAGCAACTAACTAATAATACACGTTTCTTAAAACTTAAAAGGTCGAATACATAATCTGTTCTTAAAATACATAAATATATTATTAACTTTAA